GGTTTCTGGCACATGTAAGGGACGCAACTCTGCATAGAGAGACATTTACAATTTCCAACATGGTGCATCAAATACATCAGGAACTGGTCAACCCTGACCAGCCAGACGGACGCCAGCGGTAACTGACCAGTATAGGGATGCAGACAGGACCAGGAAAAATCTTCGCCCTATTTAACCGGATTCGGATTGGGAGGTTTATAGTGTGAGTGAACACTCCGTGCTTATTGTACTATAAGAAGATAGTGTTTACTGTAAGTAGTTTGTTTACATTACGATAAGAAGATACACCTATCTGAAGTGGCTTGTTTATCTGCAGATAAATCCATTGCTCACTACCGACACTAAGTACATATTTCAATATTGATATCTAAGTTATTTTTTTTATAGGTCCAACGCGTCTTTGACAAGTCTTCCACTTACATCAATATGACGGTGTGTCAGCTGACGAGGAAAAGGGAGGAAAGCCCGAAATGATGCAGGTCTCAGACGTTTACCACTTTGGTGAAACCCACGAGCACTGGTATGGTGCTGACAAACCTAGAAACACAATCGAGGCGAACCGGGATTCGAACCCACGATCATGGGTTCCTGGCATACCCAGGGGACACAAATATGCACAGCGAATAGTGGCGCTTTCGACGACTGGTTCGACCCAGGCGCAATTAAGACATCCTGACAAACAGGTAGTTCTGATAAGAAGAAGGTTTAAGATATAGATTGGGTTTAATTGGGGTTATTTAAGATATAGTAGATAGAAGCTCCGAAAGGGAATGTCTTCCCAGAAATTGGAGAGTTGCAATTAATGGAATTTTTTGTAAGAATATATTTGTCCAGAAAATGACTGAAACAAAGAAGAAGAAGAAGAAGAAGAAGAAGAAGAAAATAATTATCATAAATAAATAATTTTTTTACAAATGAATGAATGAATGAATGAATGAATGAATGAATGACGTTTCCCGTCTCGAAATGCTAAATCCCTAAGCGTGCGCAGCAAGGTTTGTAGAGGTCACCTTGTGACGTAGACTGATCAGCCTTTAACTTATTATGCTTTTGTGTGTGTCGGAAAGTACATGAAGATAATTATGTTTGCCTTACTGATATCGCGTCGTAAGACAACTGACTATATCAAGTGTTTCGCCGTTATCGACTTTGAGGGTCTTTTCCATTCATCGGAGGTTAGAGTCCGAGGGTATCTGTTTAACTTTATCAAGAAGGGGGTTACATATGGCCCAGTCGTCTAAGGCGCCGCAATTCGCTGTGCAGAGTTGCGTCCCTTGGGCACGCCAGTAACCAAGCTCCTTCCCAGCGCGTGACACCTTCTTTACACTCTCGGAATAGTATAGAGAGTTCCGCGAATGGACTATCGCTGTGAGGAGCTTGCGCCAGTAACCTACGATCGTTGGTACGAATCCTGGTTCGCCGCGATTATGTTTCTAGGTTTGTCAGCACCACACTGAGACCTGCATCATTCTGGGGTCTCCTCCCACATTAAACTGACACGCCGTGGTACTACACGAATACTGTTCAAAGCGGCGTTAACCCAACTCACCCACCAGATTGGAAACGTCACAATCGGAATATGTTTTCTTATCATTCTACCTCGAACTTGTTCACACGGGTTATTCCGAACGACAGTTACAGGCTGTACGACAGATATCATCGTCTGTCTCTCCTTTCAACGGGATAAACATTTGAAACGGAAGAGACTTTCCATAGCCCGGCAAACGGAAGAGACTTTCCATAGCCCGTCAAACGGAAGAGACTTTCCATAGCCCGTGGGAAGTACTGCCCCGCAATCTCGTCCATCTCTCAGACATTCCAGAATGTTATTTTGTTCAGTCTACAAAGTTGTAATCGAGAACTTTGTCGAAATAGTTTTCAAAGCGTAGTCAGATATGTAAGTCGCCAGGTTGAAACTAGTGCCGTAAAGCTTGAGAAAGCTGCTTTCTGATTGGCCGATGTCGACTTCTTGTTGGTCATTTCATTAGTCGGTCAAAGTTCGCGAAAGGTTGTTCTGACTGTAATGGAATGTTTTTGGTTGGTTTGTTGTTTGTTGTTTAACACCGCACTCAGCAATATTTCAGCTATATGAAATTATTGTTTCGTCAAGTGATACGGATTAACCAATGGAATTGCAAGATTCTTAGTAGAGGGATGACAAAAGGTGACACATGTTGTTACCCTGCCTGGCCGGTAACAAGGACTGATGGGCTCGTAATCCGTATAGTGAGTCTAAGTGAGGTAATCATGTTAAAACTGCGGCATGGTATCTCAGTTGACTACAGTAGCACTATAAGAATCCGGGGTAGAATAGGTCTTCAGCAACCTATGCTTGCCGTAACATGCGACTATGCTAGTCATAAGAGGCGACTAACGGGATCGGGTGGTCAGGCTCGCTGACTTGGTTGATGCATGTCATCGTATCCCAGTTGCGTGGATCGAAGCTCATGATTTCAATCACTGGATTGTCTGATCCAGACTTGATCATTTACAGACCGCCGTCATATACTGAAATATTGTGAGTGCGGCGTTAAACAACAAACACACAAAGTAATGACCCATTGCGCAGAGGATAGGTCGCCATGTGTATTCCAACATGATAGCGACTGTTCCCGCGGCTCGCGTATCAGTTGATGCTAAAGAGAATATGAATCCGGGTACGACCTTGGCCAGATTTGAACCTCTTTGGGATCACCATGGGCGTGTGGCTCCAGAACCCCAGGTGTATCATCAGGCTCCAGAACCCCAGGTGTATCATCAGGCTCCAGAACCCCAGGTGTATCATCAGGCTCCAGAACCCCAGGTGTATCATCAGGCTCCGGGACCCCAGGTGTATCATCAGGCTCCAGAACCCCAGGTGTATCATCAGGCTCCAGAACCCCAGGTGTATCATCAGGCTCCAGAACCCCAGGTGTATCATCAGGCTCCGGGACATTCCTCAACGATGTCAGACAGTTGTGTGGATCCACTGGGACACAAAAACACCCTTTGAGATTATCCCAGAAAAAAACGTTTTGTATGGGCGTGGAGTAAGATTCAGAGTGTGATGAAGATGCTTGTTATCTGTATCGAAACGGTTATCGAAATCGTAGTATGTTGTAAATTGCTTGTCATCACCTGACCCAATTTCAACAAGCCTGATAAGATGTTTGGTAACCGCACGAGCTGTAGTTGTTCTTTTACGTGCGCTTCTATCCTTTATTGATCACAAATCTACTTGTTCAAAGAAAATTCAAGAATATTTTTTTACTGTTGCAACGTGGCAATGTAGTTCGAAATGTAAGTGCATGTTTTGCGTTATTAGTTTTAGTGATAAAAAGGGCATAAAAACGACAAAGAAACAACATTGTTGACTCAGTAAAATAGATATATATGAAGGCATTCCATGATGTGCGATCTAATGATGTATTTAGGCCTACTGTAGATATTCTCATTACTGATGGCTTTTTGCAAAACTGACCAGGTAGGGAGGAATATTAATTTTTCATCCTTTTTTCTTTAAAAATTCTTTATTATATGGTACCACATGACCCTTGAGGCTAGGTACGCCCCGATGAGACTATGAAGAGATGTTCAAGGCCACGCATTGGTGCGCCCATTCGCCGCAACTCGCCCCTTTCCGTAACCTGCTTGTCCCGGAGTTGGTCACGAATGAATATGAACGGCATGACATGTACCATTCGTGACCAACTCGTGTTATTCATTAGTGTTATTCCGCTTCTTGCAGGTTACGGAAAGGGGCTAGTGGTGACGAATGGACATGTTCAAGTCAGAATCTGTCCCCAAAACGAAATTTTAGTTGAAGAAGTCGTTTCTAAACAGTACTTAAAATATAAGAAATATATTTCAACAAGCCTTGAATATATACATGCATGATGCATTCAGGTTTCCTGAGCAGGGTTGCGGGGTTACTATAATTATTGGAGGTGGTATTCTAGGCTGTTGGACAAGTAGAATTTTGTAATTTAGTTGTCAATGGATATTTGAAAAACTGTTGAAACAAAACAGAAAAGAATACACACTCATGCAACACAATCGACAAAATATCAGTGCAGTTTGAGACAAGCATTCATGTCGGAAGTAGGAGTTATAAAGACTTTAAGCTTTCAATAATTTCAGGGTGTGCCGTTTGATGAAGAAATTACATTTGTGATAAATAAAACCACTGGTACTTCCAGTCCTCATCTTTGTATGAAGCAGATGGCAACAATACCCAAAACATAAGTGGAAACATGGAGACTTTTAGAGGAGTTTGCTTAATCACAAGAGGAAAATTCCTACCCTCGACTCCTAATTCCGTCCCTATGCCATGAAGGACAGTGTGAGTTTAATTAGGAAATATTTCATTTCTATCAAGATATGAATTGTTTGATAGGCATTACTTAGAAGTTGACGGATGACAAGGTAGACACAATTTTATGGATAACAACTTCTTTTATACTGTTAAAAGAGACGTTTTGGTATAGATACTTATACCTTTGTCAAGCAAGACTGAACGAGGGACATAGTACAGAATATATATAGTAGGTGGAGGAGAGTAACAACAATTGCATACATGAGTGGGATAACATAGGTAGGTGTTGACAACAAAGGGATAATACTGTCACAACACGTTGGACAGAGAACACATTGGTGGAAGCCAATTGGACATGAAGCCAATTAAACAGGATAGGTGATTATTGCTTGATGAGTTCATAGTAGGCAGATGGGATGAAATAGCCTTGAAGTTGTTGTCCATAAAATTGTGTCTACTTTATCAACATATGGCAGTTTATGTGGTAGGAAAGCCTGAAGTAATGCAGGTCTTTGAGTTAACCACTTTGGTGAAACCCACTAACACAGGTATGGTGCTGACAAATCAAGAAACGATCAGGGAGAATTAAATATGTTTCTGGCACACTCAGGGGACGCAACTCTGCACAGCCTGTGTGGTGCCTAAGATTTCAACCTACCATGTCCCCCTCCCTACCAAATGTAGACAAGAAGACAGAACATATTAATTTGCTTAATTAATGTTTTATTCATATAGACATAATATGGAATGTATTAACAAATGTACACCTCATATACACTGGCTATCTCAACACACGTGACTATGTCGTATTGTGGCACTAGATGTATAAATGCTTTGCAGTTATAGGTGGGAACGTCTACACACACTGACTACAAGTTAACACGTTGACAAGACACATGGACCATATTCCTGGACTATGCCACTCTACATGAGGCTAAATAACAAACATATTTGGTTCTCACGCAAACAATCATTAAGACAGTCATTCCATATTTTTCCTCCTGAAAAAGTGTGTAATTCAGGATGGTAAAATGAATAATTGTAGGTGTTTTATGGAAGCATTAGGCCTTGTTTTTTATTGGTTGACAGATTTTCTTCAGTTGGAAGGTAAAAAAACTAATAAAAAACACTGCATTGTCATGCAAAACATTGCAGGAGCGATTCCTCCTGCCAAAAAGTTTTGATGGCAAAGTCGTCTCATTACTGCTTTGCAAGATTCTAGAAAAAAAATTTTTTATCCCAATGTAAATGTTTTTCAGGTAGGAAGTGAAAAATATTTTAAAATATGATAATTTATACTTCTATTTTTTCATCAATACTTTAGGTTGGAGGATCTGTAAACCAAATAAAAAAAGTACTGAGAATCATTAATGTTTTCATTCAAACTCAACATGTCAAAGGCTGTTGGTTTCAATGCTACATTTATAATTTAATAAGCATGGCTTTGTTACTTGACATCACTAACTTTTTTTTACTTAAATGTTTTAATTTCTTGGATCTCTGTTATATTGTGATCTATCTAACACACACAGTAAATATATTTTCGAGTTTAAATGACAAGAAAAAACATAAACCTGAAACTACAAAACTGAATTTGGCAACAGCTTCCACCTTCAAAAAGACAAATTCATAACAGAAAACAACTTGCACACATGTGGCAGAGCGACTGACATGCAATTTATCATATCATTTATCAATTGCTGTCACTCACACATCAACCTCCACCAAATGCACAGCAATATCTATCACAGATGAGATCACAATAGATTGTGAGCCATGGACGAAGATGTTTCTGACTGCATCGAGTCACACAAAACACATACTGTACAGCCTAGTGATGCACCGACATGGACGTAATGCAATGTAAGGTAACCTGCCAAATTAACCATAACAGATTCTATTGCCATGTATTTTGTAATCTTAATTCACTTTTTGAATGAGAATAGGGCTTGAACTCAAGATTCTTCACAAACATGTTCAGGAGCAAAACACAAAAACGATTTCCATTGCTTTATTGCATACGAGGGTTTAAAGCTTCCTGTGTTATATATTAACGCGGTAAAGGGGTACATGTTTTCAGGTTGGATGGCATTATTGAGTACCGTAGCTAATGTCTTGAAATTTCATCTGCATCCAGTAATTTTGTGGGATGGCTGAAATGTCTAAAATGTTCTTAATTCTTTGACAATTAAGAAATTGTAAAAGTGTTTTCACATATGAAGGTCACCCAAACAGAATGAGTGTTGTTTTATGCCACAGTTGGCAATATAGAGGCTTGTAAATATTTGCATCAAGGCAAAGAACCCTCCATACATTCAGCATACACACAATCAGCCAGGGGTCCGTTCCACAAAGCTGTCAAAGCGCTAAGGTTATTGTCACTCCCATACTTTATCATAGACTTACGACTGTCGTTGCGTTACGATCGCCTTGTGGAACGGGACCCAGGTCATGTATTATAACCACCCAATCCTCATTTGCAGCTGCTCTCATCACAAGCATGGGGATCTCTTACGCCCAAGATAACCAATGGTGATTTCATCCAAAAAGAAATTACAGACAGACATTCCACTGGTGGCTAAATACAATGTAATATCAAGAGCCCTGAGAGCAGAAATTCATATTGTCTATTGAACACAGAACACTATGCAGTCAGTCACCACCCATGCAGTCACTCTCTACCAATAGCATGAATAGTATGCAGCTATACAGCTGCAGCCTGGCCGGCATGGGAGCTTATGTGGCATCTATGTCACCTACAGTAACCTGAGGCCGTGATTTGCGACTTTTCATTAATGGAACAAAAACCTACAAGCATTTGTTTGTCAGCACTCCACAACAGCACAACATCTCCAGCTAAAGTGAAAGAACATGGAAGACAAGAACGACAAATGTTGACCAACTTTTTGCAGGGGAGTGGAGTTGATAAGTCCTTGATGAGGATCTAGTCAAGAGTGAATACAGAGCTAAAGTTACACCCTAGGGTTGCTGTGACTGGTGACACAGATGCCAGAGTACATCGCCAGCCAGCCAGCCAGGCTATATCTGTGAGTCATACAGTTGGTAGAGAAGCCATATCCGGTTGTAGTAGGACGATACACCGATGCATTGGTGGATCGTGATTTTTTACTTCTTGATACAAGTATCGATCACAATCGTACATAAAGTAAAAAGTATTGATTCTTACCTTAAATATATTCTTCAATAAATGTTACACCAAACACTAATTACAAGTGAAAATGAGTAGTGAAAACGTTTGGGCCATACTTGACACTGCCAACTGTAAATCATTAGTGTGCCAGGTATTTGGCCATCCTGTCTATGATAAACATGGCTCACGCACCACAGAAAAGTGCACCTGTAAGTATCGTGATACATATCGGATCGTGAGCAAGGTATCATGATACGTATCAGATCGCACAGTTGGTGTATCATCCCAGCCCTATTCGTTTACCTATCAGTTGGCACTTTGTATCAAAATGATTTTAAGAATTTTCATGCAATGTCTACAACCAGCAAATGCATGTATACTTGACCAGTTGTTTTAATACCAACAGTAAACTACTCAGTCTAATACACAAAGCTAAAATATAAATAAACAATATAAAGTTACAGAGTAAACAATGCTGCAGTAAACACCTTGTATAAACAATCAGTACAGCTGGATGTTTTGTGATTATTGTAAGATGTGAGTAAAAATTTGATCAAATCATCTACTTGATTGTGAACAGGGGCAACTTTGCCAATTTCAGTGCTACATTGAAAAATTGTAAAAACGAACATAACTTTCATTAACAACTTCAAAAAACGGGTACTAAACTGTCATGTGGAAAAACCCTGAGGTACATTTTACATAACAACATACAACTCCATTCCTTGCTCCAATATTGATGAAATTAGTACTGTCTATCATGCCCGAAGCATCTATATTTTGAATAAAACAAGAAAAAAGATATCCAATAAAATATCCAAAACAACTATTTTAGCACATCTAATATCTGAGTGAGTGAGTATGGTTTCACGCCGCTTTTAGCAATATTCCAGGAATATCACGGCAGGGGACACCACAAATGGACTTCACACATTGTACCCATGTCGGGAATCGAACCCGGGCCTTCGGTGTGACGAGCGAACGCTGTAACCACTAGGCTACCCGACCGCCCCATCTAATATCTGAACTTCTGCTTCAGAGAGAGTAAAAAATATTTATGTTGACATCAATTTACCACATACTACAGTTTTAAGTGTAAAGGGGCAATAAGTTCAATTAATATCATAAGACAGCCAAATATCAACAGATCTAGATAATTTCTATCTACAGTGTAACAGACCATATGTTGGACACAGCAATGGTTTCACAGTCAAGCACCATAACAGTAATGTACAACTCAGTAGTGAGCATTATTTACACTTAAATAACTAATACTGAATCTAAGGAACACAGTTCTCAGCTTGAATTGACCGCTGTTTTGTTCTGTGCTGGAGTTTCAATCTTGGATTTCTTAACCTGAAAAGAAAAACATAAAAGTAACTGCATGGTCAAGGGGAGATAAGTATGTTTGTTTGTTTGGTGTTTAACACCACTATCAGCAATATTCCAGCTATATGACAGCGGTCTGTAAATAATCAAGTCTGGACCAAACAATCCAGTGAGTGACATCATGAGCACCATGAGTGGCATCATGGGATACGCTGACATGCATCAACCAAGTCAGCGAGCCTGACCACCTGATACCATTAGTCCCCTCTTACGACAAGCATAGTCGCCTTTTACAGCAAGTATGGGTTGCTGAAGACCTAGTCTACCCCAGATCTTCACGGGTCTAATGTCCATCGTCATGCAGAGTTGAAAAATAAGCAAACAATTCCTTACTGATGGAGATGGTTCTTTTTGAAAGGTACACTGAAGGAATGAAAATTGGAATATATGTAATGTGAAGCAACTGTTTGCCCAAAACTGTTCTGATCTGTTGAGAATTTCGTGGCACACTATATACTAGCATTACACTTGGTGCCTTTCGTGTCTCTTTATGAAACATGTCCACTTCTTGCAGCTACAGACATCTGCTTTGTTTCTATATGTCCCCTTAACCTTTTCCATCAGTCAAAGATACAGATTGCACAATTAAAGGTTTATCTTTAGCAAAAGTGTTCAGGTTCGAATTGCTGAAATTTTTTAGGGATAGTTTGAAATATAGGGTTTTTGTATGAAATACAAAAAGCACCATGTCACAATGAAAGTAAAATTGAGATTCTACATAATCCTTGGGTTTTAAAAACTGAACGGCATAATTTTAGCATTGCTTGCATTGCTAAGCATTGTTGAGCAATTTTGAGAATTGTGAAGGATTGTGAAGCATTGTGGAGCATTGTTAAGCATTGATGAGCATTGTGGAGCATTGTTGAGTGTTGTGAAGCATTGTTGAGATTTGTGAAGCATTGTTGAGTGTTGTGAAGCATTGTTGAGCAGTTTCAATCATTGTGGAGCATTGTTAAGCATTGTGGAGCATTGTGAAGCAGTGTTCAGCATTGCTCAGCATTGTTAAGCATGTTGAGTACCTGGTAACTATATTCCCAGCAACAATGAATACAACATATGAACATCAGTAACTCACTTCACTAACAGAGTTCTGTACTGGTGTTGGTACGATCAGGCTCTCGTCATCAGCTGGTTTACGATCATATTTTCGCCGGTGCATGCCGTCGATCTCTGTCACATGCCAGGTTCCTGGGTACAACACCTCAACATTGCCTATTGGGTTGTAAGGGGCTGAAAATTCAATGATCTTGTTTTCATTTCAACAGAACATGATTTTATATCTGATAAATATTGCCATTTTTGAACACCTTCAACAAAACCCATTGCCAAGTGAGCAGGGTGGAGAATTATTGGGAAACAATTTGATTTGAATCCCTGATTAAATATATCAAGCCAATATGAAGAAAAGACATTGCTAAAGCCCAAAGCCCTGTTCCATAAAGCAATCTTAGCGCTAAGACATTCGTAACTCATTTACACAGGATTCATAAAAGTGTTAATTATCTACAGTCTGCTTCACTTTGAATTTCCATCCACATTAAACTGCAACACTGGGATGAAACCAACTCAATCATTCACTACACAATAACCAAGGGCCACAAAGCAATCTCAGCGCTACAACTGTCGTAAGTCTATATTAGAATACGAGAGTTACGATAGTCGTAGTGTTAAGGTTGCTATGGAATGAGGCTCCGCAAAGAAATACAGGTACACAATCTGTTAAGGCTAAATTGGGTAATATACTTGTCGTTAAGCTGTTGCTTTTCATATATTGGGTTGTGGATCTGAATACAAGCAATTCAACATTAATTGGCTATGTCATACCGAGATGATGCGTCTCCTGTCGGAGCTTCATGGTCTCGTCAAACTTCTCGGGATCCACCTTTGTCCTGAGGTCCAGGCGCTGCTTCAGGTTGCTGAGACTGGCCACGACTCTGCGCAGCTGTGAAGACGGGGAGACATCATCTGTGGCCTTCAAGGAGAACATGGTAGCAGCCAGGCCGGACCCATAGGAAAACAGGATCACACGCTTCCCTGCAAGTTCCTCCAATGTCCGACTGGAAAGGAATGATTGTTGAAATCAATGTCCAGTTTGTAAAATCAATGTGCTACCGAAACTGAAAACTAGAAGGTGATGCATTTACATTACCATCGCTTCCAATGCTCGATTTAAGCCTGATCCCATAAATTTATCAAAGTTAAAACATAGGCCGGTCTGTAAATAGTGACACATTGCTGCAAAACGTAATAGAAACGTGCACATAATCTTGAAGTCCCCACAGACTGATGACATCAAGCCTCCGAACGCATGTGAAATTACACATAACACAGGGATTAGTGATGTAGTATGACTAATAAACTTTAGAGGTATTAAGTGTGTTCAAATATGTGTTGACAAGTGAGGGTATTCAGACACCAAATTTTTTTTTTTTACATGCACTTGGTGTATGTAGCCATAAATATTAGGTTGTATTTTTTAATAGTAAGTTGTACTTATGCATGTTTTATAGAGCTAAATCGAGCCATGAAGGATAAAATTATAAACTGATGCTCCGGTGTAGAGATACTGAACTCAATGACACAGTACATGAAACACCCCATTCTGTTTTGATACACAATGATTCCTCAAGGTAAAACAACCTCACATAATAATACATGTTCCTGTTGTTTGTCTTTTTTGCCAAGTTTTTAGCATGAATTTCTCTGTTCCATGTTACCTGGCTAACAAAAGGTTTTTTGTTCACCAGTTGGTGTTAAACAACAAACAAACAAAACCTTGTAACAATACCAGAGTGAGTAAAGTTGGTTTAACACTGCTTCAAACAGTATTTCAGTAATATCACAGCATGTCAGCTTACAGGGGAAGGAAATCCTGAAGTTATGTAAGTCTTGGGACTATATTCACTTTGGTGAAACTCACAAGCATGGATATCATGCTGATACACCTAGACATATAACTACAAAGAAACAGGATTGGAAACCACGATCACAGCTTCCTGCAGGGATTTGCAGAGCATGACACCAGAGACTGGACGTACCTGCTGATGAGTGAAGCGAGGCCCCCATACAGGGAGGGGGTGTACATATTCCCCACTTGGTTGGAGATCAGTAATGATGGCTTTGTTTTCTTCTCAAAGGTGGATTTGCTTGCTTTTACAAAGGCACTTTCAACTTGCTTGTCAAAATAAGTTGATTCTAGTTTTATTTCCCTGAAAAAGTAACATTAATATTAATAATGATTTATTACAAAACACATGAAAAATTGTCATAATGTATACTTTATATTAGGTATGAATAGATATATGGTTACCAAGCCATATGGAAATATGTATTGCTAAAATTGTTTACACAATAATCCTTACAAACAAGATGATATGATCAAGGGGAGATAATTTCTAAAGTATTGGTCAGATTATCTCCCTTTGTACATGAATGAACCAGCAAGATGATGTGTCATAAAAATGAGAATTTTAGCAAGTAATATGGTAACAAAAAGTGAACAGGCCAAAGGAATTGTATCAACTACTTAGAAACACAAGATTGATGAGATAGTATTTTCACTGAACTTAAATTTGTCTATATTTTGTAACATTATTAATGCCGCATTCAGTAATTTTCCAGTTGTTTGACAGTGGTCTGTTTGTTGTTTAACGCTGCACTCAGCAATATTCCAGCTATATGATGGCAGTCTGTAAATAATCGAGTCTGGACCAGACAATCCAGTGATTGACACCATGAGTATCAACTCATGCAACTGTGATACGATGATGTGCAATCAACAACCGGATCCCTTTAGTCGCCTCTTATGACAAAGCATCCTCACAGGGCTAAAGTGTACACAGAAGCAATAACACTCACTTCATTGTAATTACATTATCTTTCCAATTCTAAAACTCAGACGTTTATTGCTACTTTTGAAAACAGAATTACAAAAATTTATACAGGTGGGCACAAACCTGTGACATTGAGAACATTTCAAAATAATTCCGAATACACTTGGCTTCAAAAGAATGAAAACCATTAAACAAATTCAGGCATTATCACTGATGGACCTACTACAGCGCCATTGATGCAAAGATGTTACAGATAACCATTGATGATGGACAGACAAAGCTCCCTTCTGACGTTCTGTCCTTGTGAGTTGATGTGTATCACATGTGTACAACCTAGCAGGTGAAATGTTGACTCCATGCTTGTCACACCCACCTGAAGTCCTCAAGACCGGCATACTTTTCCTTGAAGTCTGGGCTCGGGTCTCGGAGAAAGTCGTTCAGCATTAGTCTAGCTAACGATTTCTGAACTAATTTACAATATGGAGAATGGAAAAGAAATGCATCTGCTACATCCAGTGTGTTTGGACCAACTGAAAGTGAGATGAAGATTAAAGTATAATAATATGACACATATTACTCATTCAGACAAATGTAGATAATAGCTTTTGCTTTTCATTATTCAAAAATTAAGTTTTGTGAGGTAGGATAAGGGCCTCTTTTGCCCATTGGAAACCCAAATTTTAAAATTGCTTAAATCTTTGACAAATTGGAATAAAAATAATCAAATTATGAAAGTCAGCTTGGGTCAAAGATTTCAGTATGTTCAAATATTACAAATGCTTCCCCAGAACCTCTAAAATTATCCTTTTTGATATACATCTTTAATAGTGGAATAATAATATAATACACATATTTTCAATCTACCAACAAATGACATTGTTGCATCTGATCACATCTGTCAGTGATTTACCCAACTTTCAATATATGAATGTATGTTACTTGTCTATTCGTGTCACCTTTGATTCCCCTGGCTTGTGCCTTGGCGCTGTAGACCTCGTAGCACTTGTCTAGAGCATGGAGGTAGCACTGGATGGAGAGCTTGCCATCCACGGTGGGGTACTCGGAGGCCATGTCCGGCTTGTAGAAGTCGTACACGTGCTGCATGTGTGTGCCACGGACGCCTGCATCAGACACAAGATACAAAATGATTTGGTTGGTTGAGTGAGTGAGTTGGCGGTGGGCGGATGGGCAGGCAGATGTTGAGGCAGATGAGGAGGCGGGATATTGAGATGAATATTGTGAGGGAAGGTTTTATCAAGGTAACACAATATTTCATTTGTTTAGTTGAACACCTACCAAATGATTTTCAAATATGCTATCCCTCCTAGCTTAAAAAGATAATGTCAGAAGACCAAGTTTGTTTGTTTGTTTATTTGTTGTTATTTGCCACACTCAGCAATATTCCAGCTATATGATGGTGGTCTGTAAATAATCGATACTGGACCAGACGATCCATTGATTGATATCATGAGCATCGATACACGAATTTGAGATACGATGACATGCATCAACCAAGTCAACAAGCCTGACTACCCTATTCCATTAGTCACCTCTTACGACAAGCATAGTCGCCTTTTGCTGCAAACATGGGTTGCTGAAGACCTATTCTACCCGGGTCTTCACGGGTCCAAAAGACCCAAGTAAAAAAGATAGAGACTTAATTTGAAATGTCCTATCAATAACATATATTCTTAAAATATATAATGCATGTACACTCAAAGACCACCAAAGATCTCCAGGTGAAAACAGGCAATGTTTTCTCAAACCATACACTATATCTTAAACATCAACTGTTATTCACTGCTACATGTTACAAGAAAAGATCTGACCGTCTTACCTCTGTCAAAGACAAGTGGGGCATTTGGTCCGAGCAGCATGGCAATGGCGCCGGCGCCACCAGTGCACCTGGCACTGCCTGATGCATACACAGCAATATCTCCCGCAACCACCAGCGCATAGCGACCTGCAACCAGGACATTGATATCAAGTTATGCAGTAACCATGACAACACATACAAACTTATTGCAAAAGGTTAAATGTTTAGTAGTCCTGTGCCATGACTGTGGAATTTATATATATACATTGTTACTAGGGCTGTTACGATTCACTCACGTATTCGGTGAATCGAACCGTATCCATTCATGAATTGAATTCGTTATTCGTTGACACTAGAATCGAATATTTATGCAAGCATGTGCATTTACATAAAAATATCCATTAGAACATATTATATGCATAGATTTCTTCAAAAGACAACACACTTATACTATTTACTTTGACAGTATTGTGGTCACTAGTCATTGTCACATTTGAGCAGATACTAGAACCTGGATAAGTGCATTATATATATGTATAATATATTAATCATTAACAAACCATGTCAAATAATTTATGTTGTTATTGCTTCACTGAATATAACAAATAATACATCAGCTTCTGACTTGTTATTGTATTCGTGAATTAGTATTCGTATTCGTTACCCTATATTCATGATACAAATCGTATTCGCCTCATTGTGTATTCGTTGCAGCCCTAATTGTTACAAAGAACCTTGGCAAGTCTAGAGCAAACTAAAGTAAGTCTAATTATCTTCATTCCAAAAACAGCAGAAGAGTACAGTTTCTTGTGAAAAAGAAAATTACAACTATTTGAAAGAAATGTCTTCATAGACTAAGTGTTAGTTTAAATGTTTAGTGCCTAGTCTTCCAGAATTTTGCTAATATTTTATATTTGAATATATATCTCATATTGTGCATGAATTGTTTTTCGGTTGTTGTATGTTGCAGTTATAAATATTCCAGCTATATCATGGCATATAAATAATAATCTCTCGTTTATATTTTTCTTTAAAGGTCCATTGTGCAAGGCATGGATGTCGTTAGGACTACATACAGGTATATGGTGTATTTCACCAAGTTAACTTGGGAGAAAACACATGGTCCTGTGCAAAGTGCACAGTAGGGCTGGGGCGGGTAACTCAGGTACCTTGTCGGGTGGGTACTGAGTAGGACCCGGGTACCCACAGGACTACCCGGACCCGTGGTTAGTCACGTGACATATTGTTTAATGACAAAAATAATCTAGAACTCTATGGTTACACTACAAGTCACTAATGTTCGCATTTCTTTCCAACTATACACCCCTTCCTTCTGACTTTTCATATGGTTGAATAAAAATATAACATACTATATTCAACGTAATAAGCGCCCAGGGCGCTCTCATTTTAGAAATAGAGGGCTCTTATTAGAATATAATTTTGGTGAAAAAAATCAGAGTTGAAAGATTGTAGATTTCATGGTTTATGCTGACAGCCTCAAATGTTTATATACGACATATATATTTTTCGAGGATTTAATTGCCCATAATTAAGGGTGCATATAACACATTAGTGTATATTATACATGAGTAAATAAGTCTTGTGTACATTGATCAATCAAAAGGGGTTCTATATGAGATTGTTCACTAGCCAATATATATGCAAATATCGCCGTGGGCACTTATTAGAGAGGGGCGCTTATTACATCGAATACGGTAAGTCAACTTCAGTGTATGCATGATTGTTTAATTCATGTATCTTAATACGTTTTGCCAGGGCTATGGTAAAAAATCCTACTCGGAGATTTTGTACCTATCCCGAGACCTACAGCGGGTACCCAGGGAGGGTCGGGTACAAAGGGGGTGGGTACCCGGGTAGTAAATATGGACTCGTCCTAGCCCTGATCACACTGATCCAATGACCTGGGTAATAATGGCGTTCATATATTGAGCAAGCATCAACGAATGGATTATAGCTCATCACAAATACTTACTTCATTATTAATCATGTTAATATCAGATAGTAATTTACTTCGTCTTTGAGTACAACGAAATGATGTGTGGGAGGGCAGGGATAAAATCCAACAAGAGTTTGCCACTAACGTGGCTATATCCCCCACCCCTGTTGCAGAATTTATGACATAATTAAATCTAAACAAACACTAATCTTTTTTAACCGAGGTGGAACTTGTCATGGAAATTGTTACAAAAAAGAAGAGTTTGGAACCTAAGTCCATCTTGTTGCCATGGAAACATAAAAAATAAAAATGTCTAAAATTTCTAAATAGCAAAAGGCAGCAGTTCAGCATGTACCTGACAAACCTGCAAGGTTTCATGAAAAAATATTGAACAATTTCTGAGTTATGCTCCGGAAATGAAACGTGACGGACGGACAGAAGTATGGATGGATGAACGGAGCCCGTTTCTATATCTATAATAATTGATTCAAGATGGCCTAACAGTCAATCAGTTTAACCAACTGAGCATGACATAGATAAAATTGGCTAGTCACCAAACTCAACCTTGCATAACATCGTACAAATATCAATCAAACGTGATCACAGATTGTATGTAAAAGGAATAGGATGCTAAAAAATTCAGCATGTAGGTTACACATACACCAGCATCTCCATCACACACAGGAAGCCTCATCAACTACCCAACAGTCCAGGCCAACTGATGTACATGTTACATAACTCCAGATGTTGCACACAAAGTGAAGGGATACCCAATGCCAGCAATTAACTGATTCAAATATTGCAATATATTTCGTTCCAGGTACGGATGCTGGCTGATGAAACATGAAGCTGTTTTTTCACAATGGCAATGGTGACATGTGTTCTCGAACTTCATAATACTTGAGTCATCATATTAAAAAAGTTATCAACACGTTCAATACCTTCATTGTCATTTTTGAACTATCAAACCAATTTCATTAAAATCAGATCCCACAGATGATATCCCTCTGCGTGATGCTCAGAGGACATCCACATAGAAGGTTGCATCTAGTCAACCGTCAGTGAACTTTGACCGCCCAATCAAATCATGCTGATCAGATGTCTGCTTTCTACATTTGGCTCCATTTTTTTACAACCTTAAATCAGAGTTTTGATCTTTGCAAAAGAAAACCACTACAGAAAACATTTTCTTTCTTAATTCTGCACTCAACCGCATCTGGACCAGACAATCCAGTGATCGATATTTTCTGCAACTATCAACCAAGTCTTCTTGGGTGTAGATGGCACAGCACCCAGAAGCAACAGGATGTATAAAATGTTCACAAAAATATAATAGCACTGTTTTATATTTTTCACATTAAGAACTCCCCAATTATGTTTGTTTTTGAGATACAGAAATTAGGAATGCTTGTCAATGGAGGTGTCCTCAGATCTTCACGCAGAAAGGTATCGCATCAGAATAAACGTTCTGCTTCTAATGAGATTGATTATCAACATGCTTATTGGCATAAGTCTGGTGGGTAGAGGTTTGAAAAACATGATTTTATGAGTGTGAGTGAGTGAGTGAGTGAGTGAGTGAGTGAGTGAGTGAGTGAGTGAGTGAGTGAGTGAGTGAGTTTTGTTTAACACCATTTTCAACACTGAGGGAGGAAAGCCTGAACTGATGCAGGTCTCAGACCTCAGTGAAATCCACGAGCACAGGTATGGTGCTGACAAACCCAGAAACATAATCGGGGCGAACAGGTTGTTGTTTGTTCTATCATAAAAGATCAAGCGTAAATTTACAGGATGTCTAGTTTCATCATCTTCTCATTCAACCCACACTCAAAACAAAGCTATGGCAGTGAAAGGGACTTGGTGTACATCCCAATAGAAAGAAGTCCTTATGATGATAACATAAAACAAAACCCTTAAAAATGCCAAATTTCTACTTGTCCTTATGATACCTAAACTCAAGTCTTTGAAAGGCATTTAGAAGTGATACACATAAGGAAGAGAATTTATGGATGTCAACTTCTTTATCATAAGGAACACAACATTTTGGAGTATATTATACTTACTCCTTCATCAGGTGAATGAACGTTGTTTTCTCATAATAAAGACGTTGACATCCATAAATTCTCTTCCTTATGATACCTAAACTATTGGCGGGTTTGTCAAGGACTATGGGACTAGTGGCAATTTCTATAGCTGAACATACTCAGGTTATATACAGGCTCATCAGCATGCAGTGAAAGGTTTCAAAAATGTACATGAATAATTTGCTAACCATTCCATGGTTACAATTGCTTGTTATTGCCTAGCAACACTGATAATTCAGGAACTACAGCCTTATATATGAAAGACTATTTCCACAGTTAACCTTAACATGTTTACAAGTCTAAGAGGGTGAAGTTCAAACACGATAATTATTATGATGAAAAGGGTTCTGATAAGGTGCTTCACAGACCAAGCATTAAAACTGGGGTAAATAAGGGATTTGAACTGTTGAACAGCATATCCTAGTCTGGCCAAGGGATGTAACTCTGCACAGTGTGTTGTGTCACCTTTTTGAAAGAGTATTTGTTGTGAGTGAGTGAATATTGTTTTGTGCATCAGTCAGCACTATTCCAGCTATGTGACAATGGCAAATAATCAAATCTGGGCCAGGAAAAATCAGCGAAATGAAACATTGCCACGACCTGATCCTCCTAAGTTGGCTCTTTCGACATGCTCCAAACCTTGATCTGGTCCGAAATCTGAGAATTTCATTTCTCTACTCTCTTTCTCTAAATTATCAATCACAAATCAAACAATTTGCCTTTTCAAACCCAACAAAATCCCAACACTTGCTTCTGTACTGTTTAGCAGACTTAGATTGAGGCTGAGACTGAGACTGAGATTGAGACTGATTAAGATTGAGACCGGTCTGTGGAGGGGGTGAGGATGATGACGAGTTGCATCCCTGAGGCATGCCAGAAATCTTTGATTGTGTGTTCTGAATTGTGGTTCAACCTGATTATGTTTGTTGGTTCGTTAGGTCTGAACAGAATTCTTAACAAAGTGTGAGGAAAAGTTATTTCTGGAAAACTTAACCTTTTTGAACTGTTGTAATGGTGCAGTTGGAATATTTCAAGTATGTTGAATAAAAAACAATGCATTGTGGAAGCATGCATACAGTAGCTCTTCCTGGGAACAAAACCTTGAAGTCCTAATGTCTAGCTCCACTACAGCCCAGTTGTTATACATGTAGAAAAAGCAAACAAAAAATTGCTTAAACAGCTCAACTCTCCTGTAGTTCTTGAAAAGGAAAACATTCAACATGTTCAGAAGGAGAACCTATTGAGATATGTGACCCATAGGGGCATGGATACAGGAGAAATTGATAGAAGGAAATCCACCTGTTCTCGGAAAACAAGACAATGGGTAATGTTATGACTAACCTATTTGCAACATGAAATTACATATCATCTTTTCCTCAGGAATTGATGTTGAAAGTTCCTCATTTAACTTACAAAATTAATTGACTTGTGACAGTTGATCTCTAATTCCTCGTAGCTCGTGGGAAAAATCCTGAGGGCCTTCATGTGCCATCGGTGTTCACCTCAAGTAGAGAGGCGGTCAGGTAGCCTAGTGGTTAAAGTGTTCACTCGTCATGACGAAGACCCAGGTTCGATTCCCAAAATGCACACAATGTGTGAAGCCCATTTATGGTGTCCCTCGCCATGATACATGTACTGCTGGAATTTTGCTAAAAGAGGCGTAAAACCATACTCCCTCGATCACTCATCTCGAGTAGTACAGGTTTGTTAATTCTCTTGATGGCCTTGTGTGTTACGTGTTAGGTAAGTCGTCAAGAGTGAGGTGAAATATGTCTTTGTTTCTATTGTAGTTGCAACTGTTATTTTACAAGGTGTTTTGAGGTAACTGATCTCACATCAACACTTTCCCACACACGAGGCTCCTGTAAAACAAGTAATGGTCTGTACATAGCTCTATTGTTATGACATACTGGCACAGTATTAACTATTATATACCCCAGGTCAATGACCCTGTGACAATTGATATGTGACTGACCTGTGACCTGTGACCTAGTCCAGGGCCTCTAGGGGCTGATCTCCCTGTCCATTGATCAGCTGATATGAGACAACCCCCCCACCCTAATTCACTGTGACCTCACTGATAGATATCTGTGACACATCATATCATATAAATCTGCCAGTGTCATATTACCATGCTGATTCTGTTATATTGCTTGAATAGCTATGCCTGGGATAGAAGGCAGGGTGCCACAAGTAGGATTAAAATAAGTTCCAGTGCCTAAGTGCACACATAGAAAACAGGCAGTGGGGAAGCATAGTGGTGAAAGCGTTCGCTCGTCATGCGAAGGCCCAGGTTATAGCAAAAGCCTGCGTAAAACCAAACTCACTCACTCACTCACTTAGAAAACAATTTTTTTTACGATTTTATTTAAGTGACTTAAGACAGTGAGAATTATGCATGGGAGCAGATAACCTGGACAAACATGGTTGGTTGGTTTGTTGTTTAACTCCGCACTCAGCAATATTCCAGCTATATGACGGCAGTCTGTAAATAATCGAGTCTGGACCAGAAAATCCAGTGATCGATCTCATGAGCATCGATCCACGTAATTGGGATCGATGACATGCATCAACAAAGTCAGCGAGCCTGACCACCCGATCCCGTTACGAAAAGCATAGTCGCCTTTTACGGCAAGCATGGGTTGCTGAAGAGCTATTCTACCCTGGCTCTTCACGGGTCTAACATGGGACGGCTGTGATTGTATGATGGATCCCTATCATTTTGTCTGTTCAGAAAGTATTTATTAATCTCCAAGAACAAATTTGTTCTCAGTTCTAAAATCTAAGTTAGGTATAGGAGAACCAATATATCACCATGTAAGGGTACACCAGGAATAGGTGTAACACATTGTATCCATGGTGGGAATCAAACCCAGGTCTTCAGCATGACAAGTTGACACCTAAACCACTAGGCTACCCCACTGCTCTCAAATAATATAGAGGCATGGGTGGCCAAGACATTAAAGGTCCCAAATCGTGCAGAATGGCATCCATTAGGCACGCCAGAAACATATGATCATGGTTTGAATCCCAGATCCCTGTATTATGACAAGCAAAAACTCACCATCCCATGAACTTGATTCAATCCAGTTGAGGGCATTAAACAGTGCATTGGTTCCTCCATAACATGCATTTGTTGTGTCGATGCCTTCAACGTTGGAGTTGCCGCTGTCCTCAAACAGCTGCATCAACACAGTCTTCACACTCTTGGATTTGTCTATGAGTGTCTCTGTGCCCACCTCCAACCTTCCGATTTCACTGTAGGCAATCTGATTCCTCTCCATCAATGTCTGCACCACAGTTAAACACAGAGAGTTGATATCTTCTCTATCAGAACAAAAGCCCATTTTGGATTGTCCGAGTCCGATGGTGTACTTTCCCTCAGAGACACCATCAAATTTCTCCAGCTCCGTCTGGTCGACGTACTCAGAGGGGAAATACACCTCCATTGCAATGATGCCGACATCCTGTGGCCATCCCTTGTTCTCGGTCGCTGTTGGGCCAGGCATTTTGATTAGGTTGTGGTTATCCACTGAAAACAGAATGGAAAACATGTAGACATAAGAAGCATCGAATTCTTTGTGGTTTCAGAACACAATCGACATTTGTTTTCTCGACTCTAAAACTCCCACCCTCTCAGTAGCATCTTGTCACAAAGACATTTTTCGTAGAAATGTAATTAATTATTGGGAAATACATATAGTTCATTGTCGTCGACTACATATATTTTATGTCTTGTGGCAGCGGTAGAAACTAACACTACTAGTCCACTAGTCCTTATAATGATAACATTTAGCAAAACCATTCAAAATTGCAAATTTCTACTATTTCTACTTACCTTAACTATTGGGCAGTTTGGCAAGGACTACATGACTAGTGCTAATTTCTAAAGCTGCTTGTGGTTTTGGATATTTTCTTCAGTACTACACCCCACAATCTCTTTAATCAGAGTCTGTACATCACTACACAGATTCATCTAGAATTTCTAACTAAGTACACTTGACAGGCAAATTAGAGAACTAATATCTTGCCTAAAACTTTGCATAAAAGTCTAATATTCTAATATAGCTGGGTTAGTTCAACAACACAATAAATGTAATTTGGTACATTTAAGTATAAAATTCCTTTTCTCCTCATTGGACATGTTCTAAATGAAATACATTACAAAACTAAAACAATAGCTGTCATAGTAGATATGACCAAAGATGTCTACCTATGAGTTGTATGCCAATAACTGCTACAGAAGCTCAGGTTTCTAGGAACTTTAAACTTCAACCTGAGACATCCTCAGTCCACATCAATATTAGTTTGTGTTAATTGCTGTACATTGGCACAGCATGAAGTTATTAATTTATTCCTGCAATAGTCACATTTAATAATGGGAGACATGGGAGGCCCAGTCGTCTAAGGTGCCGCCTTTCGCTGTGCAGAGTTGTGTCCCTTGGGCACGCCAGAACCCTATGATTGTAGGTTCGAATCCCACTTCCCCCCGAATATGTTTCTAAGTTTATCAGCACCATACTCCTTGAGGGTTTCACGGAAGTGGAACATCTGAGACCTGCATCACTTCAGGCTTTCCTCCCACATTAATACTGTTAAAAGCGGCGTTAAACCAGACACACCCACTCACTCACATTTAATAATGAATGCTCACCAAAGTGTTCAGTGTTAGTTACAAAAGTAGAACTCTGTCCTAGAATCCTTAAACTTAAAGGATACTTTCAGGTGCTTTCTTTGAGCTTATACAATTTGAACCGGCATGTTAAAAACAAAATAAAGGTTTAAAACATATGTTTGTTTGTAGTTTAATGCCGCATTTAGCAATATTCCAGCTATATGATGGTGGTCTGTATATAATCGAGTCTGGACCAGACAATCCAGTGATTGATATCACGAGCATCGATCCACACAATTGAGATACGATCGCGTGCATCAACCAAGACAGTGAGCCTGACCACCCGATCCAGTCATTTGCCTCTTACGACAAGCATGGGTTGCTGAAGATCTTTTCAACCCCGGATCTTCATCTTCATGGGTCTCTCCCTCTTTCTCTCTCGGGAGCATGGGTGGCCCAGTCGTCTAAGGCGCTGCAATTCGCTGTGCAGAGTTGCGTCCCTTTGGCACACCGGAAACCTATGATTGTGGGTTCGAATCCCGGTTCGCCCCGATTATGTTTCTAGCTTTGTCAGCACCATACCCGCGGGTTTCACCGAAGCGGTAAACGTCTGAGACCTGCCTCACTTCGGGCTTTCCTCCCACATTAAGCTGACATGCCGTGATATAACTGGAATACTGTTAAAAGCGGTGTTAAACCCAACTCACTCACTCTTTCTCTCTCTCTTTCTGTATAATATATTGTTTTAAACCTTTATTTTGTTTTTATGCATAATATGTAGTGATATTTTAGTGATAAAGGAAAAGTTTGCATTTGTTATGTTAATCAGTCTTATATTCATACCATCACCTGATAATCAACAAAAACATATTTTGTACACTTGAGCCAATTAAGGTAATAATGATAGGAAGATTAGAAAAAGAAAAGAATAATTAGTTTCCAGTTGCCTCGCTGAAACCCTGCAGTACAACAAAGTGGCTTGTCAAGTTAATAGTTTGAATTTGGTTTCACGATTCTCTGATGTATCAATGCATTGCAAATATACATCAAATATTATGCAGGGTTTTTATGCAGTATGTGCATCCAGTATGCATAAATGTATAGAATGGATGCAGAATAAATATATATTCCGTACCAAAGGACGCACAATAATATTCATTATACCAAATTCTTGACAAGAAATATAAAGTTCCTGTAATGAAAGCAAGTATAAAGTCTTACAGTACAGTACACTACACCATTTCATTACTTTACAGGACCTTCATATTTCCCGTAAGGACCCCTGAAATTAGTATTTGGGAGTCCTCTGGACCCCTAGTTTTGTGGGCAACTAAAAATGCTGATATGATACCCTACATGCCTTAGTATTGACTCGTGTACCTAATTCTGAATTGATTTTCAAAAAGGTATTATTTACAAATTTTAAAATAACAAGGCCTGACAACACCTCTGCCACAAGCTACCTTCCTGTCAATTACCAACAAAATGCTAAATCTGATTGCATGATAATGTTAGAATCAGCCTGAATGAACCACTCATGCAGTTTACTTGCAACAACCTTCAGTCAGCCGGGCAACATGGAACATGGAGAATTTCACTCAAAACTGAGTCAAATTAAGCATCACAATACATATCGATAACTGACAAAGCCATATACAGCGTTCCAAAAATTATGAGCCAGTATGTTTTACTCCGCTCTCAGCAATATTTCAGAAGTATCACGGAGAAGACTCTAGAAATAGGTTTCACATGCTCATGGCTCTGTACCCAATATGTGGGGATTCGAATGTGGGTCTTCGGCATGACCAGTGAACACTTTAACCACTAGGTTCTAATTATGTCGGCTAGTTATGAGACATGACAGAGGGCCAATTATCAAGACAAAGCCATCTAGAGTTACTCGGCTAAACATTACCACAACACACAGAATTTTATGTATTTGTGGTAACCTTGAAACTTGATATAATAAACCTACCCCTAAACAATGCACTGTCAAATATACATGGTTAATGGTTTAACCTGCCATGCATAGTGGACACGTAGGGTGATTTTGATTCATATAGGATAATATAGGCTGGATCTACTCATCAGTCACATATTAAATTCAATGATGCGATAAACAGTACATCTTATACTTCATTAATGATCATTTCAGAAATCATTAAGAATATATTTGAAGTACATCAAGTAGTTCTCATATTGTTCAACATTTTTGGACATAAAATGTATAATGCATAGTCCAAAATTACAGGTCCAGTTCAGTAATACAATCAGCTTCTGTTTTTTGCTGTCTATATCAATGTGTTACCAGTGGTTACACATCAAACCTGTGTAATATAACCATCTGTTTTTCTCAATGATCATGACATATAGTGACTTATAGAGCTTTACTGTATTGTCTTGTTTCAGTCCTAAGTGAACAATACTATGAATACATTCATTGTCAGACATCTGAAGGAACATATCTTAGTATATGTTATGTTTATGTATATGATTGAGCATGACGTACAGGGTTAACCTCTTTGGTTTCGTGAACAAGGCGTTGAACCTCAGATCAGAAGGTCGGTGGTTCAAATCAAATCAAAGTCTGTGATTGGCATGCAAAATGAAGTTGACTATCAATGTTCATATCAAAATTGAGCAAAACAAAGTTTCAATACTCTATTGTGCGGCTCAATACTCTATTGTGCGGCTCAATACTCTATTGTGCGCCCAGGGGCCCGTTTCTCTAAGCAATCTTAGCGCTATGGTAATCGTAAGTCCCATACTTTAACATAGGCTTACGATCATCGTAGCGCTAAGAGTCAACCCACAGATGACATCCTTACCTAGTCGATTTGCTGAAGACGTAGGCTCGATCTTTGGTCATGTGGACAATGCGTCCGAACTACGATCAAAAGGTTCTTGTTTCGAATCCCACCACATGACTCGGAAACTGCATGCGTGCTTGATTTATGACATGACTAAGTACAAACAACATGAAAACAGCCAACATGTAGTCTAATATTACATCACGATCACATTCTTGACTCGAATAAATTTTCAGGAATCAACCAGATATATATATAGATATATATATATATAGACTACGTGATTGTTGTGTTTAAACACTGCCGAGTTGACAGCATCTTTCAAATAAATATTAAAAAACCTAGATGAACACTCGTTTCAGCTGATTTCTAATTTCGTCCCAATCGCTTGCTACAAAAAAGACATTCGAAACATATACTGTGACATGTTCATCACCCATAATATGTTTTAAGATCCTGAATATACGACCACCTTACCTGTTACTCGTTTAACCTTCACGGCTTACCAACACCGATTGGACTCCCCACAAAAGCTGTCTGCTATTAACAACATTCACAAACTCCATGCGTCACAAAGCGGAAGTGTTCACTCCGCAGCATGAGAATCCTCGACCAATCAAAACGGCGCTTTCAAAAGCACCTGACGAAAGATAACATGGGACCACATTGTTCCCGTAGAGACCCTCACACCATGGCCTCATCCGATCGACAAACCAAATAACACAAATAGAAGCGGTCGTACGAAATCAGGTGTCCTTAGTCCAGATAAACATATCTGTAGAAAAACTTACGGCCCTTAATCCCTTCGCTTATTTAACGACTTGTTATTGAATCGAAAAGTGGGCGTGCCGTGGTGTATACATTTATGTTGTTGATGACGGCAGGTTCTAAAAAAGGATGTTAACAGTATCTAAAATTAGATAGTTTGAACGCAAGTCAAATGCAGCAACGACGATGAATAACTGACGCAAGTGTCTAAAATCAAATATACGTCAACTGCTATGATGTGTAAGATTATTTCAAACTATATAACAACATAATTTCAATACAGAATGAGGAGAAATATATATATATATATATATATATAAAGGTCAGAAGGAATTGGTG